ACCTCCCTGCCTCAGCCCGGCTCAACCCTGTCAGGCTGGCCCTGACAGTTTAACATCTTGACCATGCCCTTACTTTACCTTGTGGAATCTGGCTATAAAATTAAGACTTGGCTTGCGGGCGCTGTCGCAGTCTCTCCGTCAAAGAAGCAGCGTCCCACCGAGAACCAGCTTTCATTCTCTTGTCTGTCTTTTCACTGCCCTGCCCCCCCATCCGCCCCCTCAGGTTCACCCTTGGCTATGCTGGCACAGAACACCTCTATACTATTCTCATGATGAGGCAACCTTCATTCTAAAGGAAAGATGTAATTCATGTATATAAAACACAAATGTGAAGGCATTCACTGGAGCAAGGAGCTATTACAGCTTTTGAAAATATGGTAGTAATATTGTAGGTAGCCATTCCTTGTTGATAGTGTGACTTTATATTTATTACAACACAGTTGGTGATTATTGCAAGTGATATTAATTGAAGTTAAAATATTTAAAATAAATAAGCTATATGTCAATAATAGTATGTAGCATTTTTTTACTAGCCTCTAGTAAAAATTTAAAAAATGTTTAAAATTGTGATATATATCAAACATATAAAGAGTGTATGGAACATAAATATACAGTGTAGTGAATTATAATAAAGTTATGTCATTAACACCTAGAATTCTAAAAGTCATCTATATGCCACTAGCAAGACTCACTTCCTCCCCCTTAAAGAAACTATCTTGATTTTTATGGTAAGTATTTATTTGCTATTCTTTATAAATTTACTAGTGGCCCAATGCATGAATTCATGCACATTGAAAGAAAATTAATTATAAGAAATATTTTAATATCACTATTCACCCTTTCTCTATAATAGAAGTGCCAACCAAATTCACGATCAACAATGACAGATGGAAACACATGGGTGCAACTGGAACCAGTGAGAGCTTTATATGTATTGCGCATGCATGAGTCAACTTAGCCTTTTATAGATATAGAAAAAAATTGCTTAATTAGCCTTAGCTAAACTTTTTCCAGCCCAGTGAAGCACCCCAACTTCTCTTTCAGGTAATTGTCAGCAACACAGCAGTACATATCAACACGAAGCAGATTATTATTGTAGATCACGCAGGGAGAACAAAGAGTAAAATATTTAACTGCAGCAGTGTTTGACTATATTCTGCGCAGTGAGAAAACCTGAAGTCATTTTTAAGGTCCACCATTTCTTACTTCTTTTCAGTCAGGTCAAGTTTCTAAGCTTTTTAAATCTCTGTTTTCTGGCTAATGAAACAAAAAAATAAGATTCCACTGAGTCTCCTATCTACCTACTCCAGGACTTCTGTGAGGATCAAATGATATGAGGCATGGGAAAATGCTTCACAGACATTTGGTTAAAGTGTAAAATGTTTCCATCTATGTTCCTGGGCTGAAGGAACTGCAAAGAAGCTAGTTGCTAGGGAGAGGAAGCTGGGTGTTGCTATGTGACGTCATTACCTGGAGCCCACAGTGACAGTTTCCAGACTGGAATGGGTTGTGGGCTGCATTTTGTGCCATGGAGTCTTGGCAGCATTGGCTGTGATTTGGTGGGGTGTTGTTCTGGGGTGGTGGCAGGGCCTGTGTCCCTCTTGGGGGAAGACAAGTGTTGGTTTGCCAGCCAGTGCCTGTCATGGCATCTCCTGGGTTGAGTGTCTGCCCCCTGGTGGTCAGTGTGCATCATAACGACCAGTCAGATGGTAGGAGAAACACTTAGCATATTAGCCTTTTATATGTATAGACTGGAGGCCCGGTGCACAAAGATTTGTGCACTCGGGGTCGGGGGGTCCCTCCGCCCAGCCTATGCCCTCTTGCAGTCTGGGACCCCTCGGAGGAAGTCCACCTGCTGGCTTAGGCCCGATCCCCCAGGGAGTGGGGGATGTCCAGCCCTCGGGTGATGTCCACTTGCCAGCGAGGAGCAGGCCTAAGCTGCAGTCAGATATCCTTAGCGTTGCTGAGGAGGCAGGAGAGGCTTCCTCCACCACGGCTGTACTGGCAGCCATCAGCCTGGCTTGTGGCTGAGCAGAGCTCCCCCTGTGGGAGC